ATTTAATTGTGGGAAAATTTACTGCTTCGCTGTCGTCGCAAACTGTATCAATAGATTTATATGATACCAAGTTCCCTGGTAACAACATTTGTATCTTCAGATTTAAATTGTCAACGTCTACATTTTTTGCCGCTAAAATTGCTCTTTCTGCAAGCTACTCATGATTTATGTACTGTGTGTGTACATCGAAAAATATTTGTTCAATAAGAGTATCTTGCGAATCATCGATTGTGCAGAAATCGGTCGGTAATTTTACGTATCCAGTTTCATCTATAGCAACTTTTTCATCACCGATATCTAAGAGTTGTTTTGAAAATGTTTCAGCGGATGGATCTTGAAGCATTTGAACGCACATATTTACTTTCAGCTGTACTTTTTCAACATTTTGAACATTTTGATTTTAAACAAGCGTTGATCTCATCAGCGTATGTTGAACGTGGAATGACTGGAAGTGTTTGCCCGAAATCACTTGAAAGGACCAACAGAGTTCCGCCAAATAGATTGTCGTTGTTTTTAATATCTTTCAATGTCCTGTTCAACGCCTTAAGCGAATGTTTGTGTGCCATAGTACATTCATTCCAGATGATAATTTTACACTGTTTCAGCACAGTGGCCATGGACGATTGTTTCTTAATGTTGCATACTGCGTCAGGGTCAGAATTGAATGTTCGAATTGACTACAGGAACACGTTAGAATCTGGATCCGTGCCGATAAGTAAACCGTTCAATGGTTCAGATGGTGTTTCAATTTCAGGTAGTTGCACTTTTCCTGACGCGCAACACATCCCAGCTGGCTCATTTTTGAATTTCAGAGCATGACAATGCGGACATTCCTTGTCCATAGCACCAATTACCACTTTTGAATGAGCATAATATTCAATATCGGGCTCATACTGGAATGCTAGACGCAGGAATGAATCAGATGTAAATGCTCGATGTACCTGTTGTCGTTGTTGGTCATTTGTTCTGCGTCTATTGACTGTGAAACGGCGTGATTGTCGTTGTTCTAATCTTATTACTTCATTGCGTTCAGCTCGTGTGTCTTCTGACTCTNTTCTATTTCGCAAGCTTCGAGATTTACTTGTATTACGGTTCAAATCAGCCCCTTTGCGTTTTGTTGGCATTGAAATATGTGCAAAGCACACGTACATAGGTTAGGTTAGGTTAACAAAATTAGCCAAATCGGCCCTGCCGTTCTCAATTGTTATTGCCACGGAAACCAATAATAAAAAATAACAACATAGAGTGTATATTATCTCTCCATGGCAAAATAATAATTGTTGAATATCGTGCGTGCTAGTATACTTTGACTTAAGAGGCCATAACTCCGGAACCACTTATCGCAGAGCATACAAACTTAGATAGTAGCCGATTCTCAGACCTACTGAATATGCATATAAAATTTCATGAGAATCGATCAAGCCGTCTCGGAGGAGTATGGGAACGAACATTGTGACACGATAATTTTATATATAAGATATTTAAAATAAAATCATATTTATGATAATTAATACGTATTCCTCGTTGCACTCAGAATACAGTACGATAAATAGCAATTTTGATAAAAATAAAAAAACCACAATATAACATGCAATATATGAGATCGTGTTTATAAACTCCTCCCCACCGATTCTTAAATTTAAATACGCTTCTGAATATGATTACAGTTTATTATAAAACACAAATACATATTATTATAACACGAACCTACATAATAGTTTCCTTAAAAAAATTGTGTTTATATAAAATGCACATAACACAGTATGAATGGAATCATAAAAAATCATATATTAAAAATATTATGTGGTAGGTATGTTATAAATTACCTATATTTATGAAAATATAATAAAACAAAGACCTCAACGTATCCATTGTAACATTATTAAAAAAATATAACATTATAAATTGAATCACGTTCGCGCACACTCACCATATCACGTTTAAAGCGAAAATGCTTATTAAAAAAACGAATGCATAGTGATTTAAAATCATATATATATATATATATATATTATACTATTTGACTATAGATACACGAAACGTGTAAAACTGAAAATTGTTCAAAATTGATACGGGCGTATGTTAAGAGAAAAAAAAACACCAGTGTGCAGCAGAGCAAGCCAGAGCTCCGCCACTGTTGATACAAAATATGTCCCACCTAGATGTTTTATATTGTAGGTATACATATTTTAAAAACAATAAATAACTGAATATTATAATCCAATAGTATGCAACTATACTAATACCCAAACAAATGGTGATATTTTAACATAAAAATGGTATAGGGGAGAGGGTGTTGAAAATTGAAACCCCCATAGACATATTTTTGATACTATTAGTGTGTCGAAAGAATGGATTCATTGAATTTTAGAGAAATATATATGCAATATGCACGAATGCAATTGTGTACTTTTATTTTTTAAATAAAAATTCATTAACTGAATTAACTGAACTAAATTCATTAACCATTAACCATTCATTAACGAATTCATTAATTTAATATCGGAATGTGAATTTAAATGACAGAATTATAAAAAAACAAAAAATATATATTAAAAGTGCATTAGAAGCATTATTAGTAACAATTATATGGCATTTTGAAAAATAATTTCTAGGAAAAATATACCTACACAATCTGAGGAATCTATTGGTTTTGTTATGACATTCATTTTTTACTTTGTTTGTTTTGTGTCTGTGAGCAACTTGCATATCAGAAAGCTCAACAAATTACAAGATACCTTTTTTATTGCATTTGATATCTAATTGATGAGTATGAAGCCATTTTTTTAGTTTTCCAAGCAGTTTTCATGATAATCGGGAAAAACCGTAAAGTTTCTTGGCTAGTTATTTATTACACTCAGAATCTCAAATTACCGACGTTTATACAATTATTGTGGGTAATAAATAATTATACGAATTGGGCACGTCGTCCGTTTGTTTCCTCGTTCATATTATTCTTACTATCGCGTACCGATGATGCTCTTTTTTATTGTTCGCGCACATAATATATTATATTATTATAATTCCGTTGAGAATAACCATTCGGACCGGTGTGGGAAGCACAATAAAAAATTATGACCTTCAAAAGAAAAAAAAAATTTAGTTATAATTATTATTTTAAATAAACGTGCGCTTATTAGAAATCGTTTGGAAATCGAGACCACACCACGCTGAATATATGATATGATAATAAGTATAATAATAGACGTTTATTAAAAAATGTTCGTGATTTTTATTTTTATTGCGTGAAAATAATTTTACATACCGCAAAAAACGAATCGTTTTATTAATATTTTATCATATGTACATTATATTATGTCCGACGCCCACGGGGACAGATAGTACTTAAAAAACATTTTAAGCGATACAAACAATCGTTATTACACACACATTCACTATAATATAATCGTATTAGTGTTGCAGAACGATCAATACTATTAATTTGTTATTATCTCGTAGTGAAAATGCAGTGTAATAATACAATATGCAGTAACGCATCGTGTAGTTTTTGTGAGAAAACTACAATATTCAGAACGCATTCTATAACGTTTTGATATTTTCGTCGATAACAATATAACGAATTGGCGCATAGATATTGATTATAAAGTAACGTGTAACTATAATCGCATTAGTACAGAATGTTTACGAAATTGAAATTTCGATTTCATAACATGAATTTACTATTTCCGCGATCACGTCTCTGGAGTAATAGTTGAGAAAATGCTAAAATACCGTTTAAAGCGATAGCTCATATTTGAGGGGATTCAAGCGAACGATTCCAACCGCGCCTATTCTTTGATGTTTTTTTTTTTTTTTTTACAAAATTCGGTAATTTTCCTATTTTTACACACAAAATAGGAACAGGTAAGGGCACGTTTTATTAAAACAAATTCCTAATACATTGACAAAAAAAAAAAAAAAAAAAAAAGCTTTCGTACGTAAAATCGGTAAACTATTTTGTTGTTCCGATAAAATGTATTTCCGTGCCCCCGACCTCATAAGTTAAAACGCCAAAAAAAAAAAAAACAAAACGTCTCAAAAGAAACCTCGTAATTGTTGAACAGACCGAAAAACCGTATACGTAAAACGGACGTTAACGATTTCGTTATTTAAAACGTTTGCGATTTTTCTTTCTTGCGCCCGAATTTCAAGAGTATCGTTAAGTCGACTTTTCCGAAAGAAAATTTCGCCAATATTTTTTTTCATAGTCGCGTGTGAAACGACGCGTTAATTGATTAAATTTTGTTATCCAATGTAATATCGCTTTCGTAATACTATTAAAACGTATAGTACTATTATAATTATTGACATAATGTTCGGCCATTAAACGAGAGGTATAAAGTTAGTATTATTATTATAGTGTCCGGTAGGTATTTACATTTATAAATAGTGTCTAATACCTATAGACACCTAATAATTATATCGTCCGATGTACAAACAAGTCGACCGTAGACATTTAAAGCTTACAAAATGTTTTCACTCGACAACATTATATTTTTAACTAACCTATTTTATGTACCTAATCCGTTCGTTTTAGATTCAGAACGTACCGAGGGAATGTACTGGTTGTACTATTATTATTATTATTTTTTTAGATTGTGAGTGTAGCGAAGAATTTATTGGTTTTACAAAGATGTTTATATTTGTATTTTTTTTTCCGCCGACAACTTTTCTACCAAAAAGCTTACTCCGATGTGTACGATGTAGATCCTTTTTTGAAAGATAATTTTTTTTTCGGTGGTATTTTAAGAAGGTAATTTTTCCAAAAATTTTCCCAGCAAATGTGAAAAACCGTGAAAAAACATGGGAAAATCAATGCTATATTAAACAAATATTACTAAAGAAAATATATAATGCTTGTTTAGTTATTTCACCATAATATGACATATATATTTTTGAAAAAGCATTACTATCTACTGAACTCCACTCAGAATTGTTTTTTCGTTAGCAATGATTAATCGTTGCTTACAAATATAAATTAATTTCCCCTCTATATCCTACCTTCCCAACTTTTCACCAACAACAGTGGTTGTACCCGTCCCCATTTTCTTAGGACAGCTTTTTTCTTATGTCGTTGACAACTGTCCTGCCGGGTATTTTGCTCTAGTCGAAAGACGACAAAAGTACGACTTTGTAGCAAATTTCGCCTATTCGATGCAACGAGAAAGTTATTTTTTCCATTTTTCTAGTAGTGTTCTGAACAACCGTGAAAACCCGAGGAAAATGGGAAAATGTATACAATAACGAATTCTAGAAGTTATCTTCGATTTTATTTTGTTTGTTATATTTCAGTTAAATACAACTGTAGTGATCTGAAATGTTGACCGAGTGTTCATATCAGCAATTTATAAATGCGGGATAAAATTCAAATCCATCTAGCTGTAAATTAGAAATAAAAGTCACTGTATTTGAACTTATTGCATAATCTATAGAAGCACATACATAAGAATAAATAAATACTGATCAAGTGTGTGTCGTACACGCATCAATTAAGGGTTCGGTATAGTAATTTATGGCATGTATTAAAGTAGTGCAAGGATTGTCCAAGCCTTGTATTATATGTCGTGAACTAATCATTAGCATAAAAAATGATGTGCGTGATGTTGGTACCCCAAACTTTTACTTTTCTTTTGCAAATTATTTGCGACAATTTACATCACTGGAAAAACAATTAGCAATATATTTTTTATATATTAGAAACCTATACCATCTGCAAAAGACGTTCAATCAATTTTTTTAAAAGACATAAAGTTCAAATTGTTATGATTTTGTACACCTATTATTTAAACGAAAAATAACGATTTTTATTAATTTTTGTAATTCAAAATTTATTAGTCTTGGGATTTGTAATATTCCCTATTACGCTTATTATTATTTAATATACACATACACAATGACATTTTTCTAACATTAAAATTAAATTTAATCTGTTTGTACCATGAACCTATTAATACCGTTCTACGGTACGCCGATATTGTTTATTAATTAATGTTTTATAACTCCAGTGTTTAGACTTATCTAGATAAAAATAGATAAATATTGTGCCATTTATCTATTGGTTATCTTAGATGACACATTTACTTATCTAGATCAATTTTTCATTTTTTTTTTTTTTTTACTAAGATTTTTCTATCAGAATTAGTACATATACTCATAATAATACCGTATTCCCATGTACTACTAACAAATTGTATAAAGTTGATATTTTGAGACGTTATTTTACGACTCTTTGTCTCGGAGATTATCGACAACATTAATTGTTACAATATACTATATAGATAATGGATATAAATTGTTTAGGTGATTCATTATTCAAAGTTGAGGGTAAAAATAGGTCTTGAGTCTTGATTTAAAATCTCCACATAATACAAACATTTAAGTGGCTTACTAATGGCATATTAGGTGATTAGTCGCCGAATTTAAATTTATTTTATTTTGCGCGATTAATCGCTGCGTTTCTGTGGATAGGGATACGAGAGAATAATA